GCGGTCGTGGCATCCGGGCGACCTCCAAGGACCCCTCAATTGCAAGATTTGATGAAGATTTGCAAAACCCCCAATTTTGGACCCAATTTCGAATTTTAGGGTTTTTTCGAGTAGAAAAATTCAGATTCGAGAAGTTAGAGGCCAAATTAGACAAAATGGTTTGGATATTATTGATCCTCGTCTCAAGACGAAGAGAATGACATTGGTCCCGCCGGAATCGGAAAAAGTTCATTTTCCGGCGACTTTGACCGGCGGGCGGCGGCGGGGGGCGTGGAAGAAAAGAAAAGAAGAAATGGGGTCAAATTGAAAATTTTAAAATATATAAAATTCGAATTTGGCCCTAATGACCGGAAGTTAACCTAGAAACGGGCTAATGGCTCATTAGTGAAAGGATTGTGTAAGTTCAGGGATTTTTGTGAAAGGATTTGAAATTCAGGTACCACTTCGAAATTCCAACTAAAGTTTAGGTACCATTTGTGAAATTTACACAGCAGGATACTATGTAGTAATTGTCTGCCCAATATTTTTTGAAGAGCACACAAAGTACAAACTTCTCCCTACTAGCTCCAGAAACGAAAACCTGAATGGCAAGGGATACATGCAGAACTCCGTCTCATCGAGATCTCAAATCCTCCAAATCCAAAACTGAAGGTGAATCTGAGTCCCAAACCAGCTCAGACTCCGAATTCGACCATGAAAACGGGTCGAAACGATATGATGGACGCAAGCATAGTAAAAGAGGGGAGCGAAAGCGGAGCCGAAGTGTGAAGAGAAGGAAGCTGGATGATTCATCCTCGTCTACTGAATCGGAAGATTTGTATTCCGGATCTGATTTGCATTCGTCGTCGGAAGGGGATGAAGAGAAGAGGCGCGGACGAAGAGAGAGACTGAGTAGAGAGGGGGGCGATAAGGAAAAGGAACGCAAGCGAAGGAGAGAGAAGGAGAAGGAGAGGAAGAGGAGGAGGAGGAAGGAGAAAGAAAGAGAGGAGAGGAAGAAGGAAGAGAAAAAGAGAAAGAAGAAAAAGGACAAGAAGAAAGAGAAAGACAGGGGCAAAACTGGTGCTGTTACAGATTCGTGGGGAAAATATGGAATTATCAGAGAAACTGATATGTGGTGAGCTTACTCGCTCCATTTCCAGCTCCCTAACTTTTTCCCTCATATTCTAGTTTGAAAATTAAATTCTACTGTCGCAAATTAGTGTTAGGATTTATGCTGACACCCAGCATCCATGAAGAAGTATCTCACTGGTTTCAATTATTTACTAAAGATGATAAATAGATCCAATTATTTAATTGATTGAGGGATGACTGCTTTATGAGCTTAAAGATTTTCTATTCTTTTGATGCAATGCGTAGTTTCGACAGCAGTCTGTGAAATTGCCGTAATTGATAATACTCACGCATGTATCCAAAAATAAGTTTTAAGGGCCACTCAATACTTGAATATATAGACAACTAGATTTACTACAAGTAGGGGAAGCTGCATTTCTAAATTAAAGTAAAAAATTATTTCCTTTGTGCAATTATACCTCTGTTGTGTGCTCTAGTTTCCATTTTCTAGCTGTTAGTTACTTGCTGGACTAGATTCTTCTTTGTTTTAAACCCAGTGCATTTTGCTCCTTCATGGAGCACTCCCCATTTTTGAAAAAAAAGTCTTTATGCTTGCAAATATTAGGATGCTGCAGTAGTGCGGTGGATGAGTGGACACACGAGATTTGATAGGATTCAGAATGAGGTTTTTCGAGGACGGTTAGGAGTGGCACCCATTGAGGATATGTTACGGGAAATTAGGTTGAGGTGGTTTGGGCAAGGGATATATTTAGAAAGAAATAGGAGGTGATTAGTTAGGACCTTAGACTTTTGAGTCTTACTGAGGATATTACCTTAGGTAGGAGCGTTTAGAGAGCGAGGACTAGGGTAGTTGGGTAGGTTTTTGGGCTTGGTGGTTGTTTTTACACTTGTCTTTTTGCCTGGTGGTTTCTTCTTGTTTCTCTTTCTCTTTGTACACTTTAGCTTCTTCTTTGCTACTCTTTTTTCTATGTTATGTGTTTTATGTGCTTTCGGTGCTCAACTTGCAGCCTGTTTTGCTCAAGATAGGGGTCTCTTAGAAACAACCTCTGTATTTTTGAGTAGGGGTAAGTTCTATATACACATACCCTCCCTAGACCCTACTCTTGTGGAGGGTTGTTGTTGTTGTGCTCCTCCAAAATTATTTTATTTTAGTGTGAAGCATCATGAGTTTTTTACTTCAAGTATTTGGAAAATAGGTTCGCCATGTGGTCCCTATTTCTCAATCATTTGCCCTAATTCGTCTTACTCCGCTCAAGAACTCACGCGTGTAGATTTGTAATTTCTGGATTTTCTGCTGCATTTTTTTAAGGATTTACAAACTATACAGTCAAAACGACTACAACAAACAAACCCAGTAGAACCCCACAGAAGTAGGGTCTTGGGAAGGGTGTGTATGCAGATCTTACCCCTACTTGGAAGTAGAGAGGTACAAACTATCAAGTCATCTGAAGTATTCTTTGATTGCAGGAGCAAGCGGCCAGAGTTTACTTCGTGGCTGGCTGAAGTAAAACAGGTAAAAGCATTTACAGCATGCTACTTAATTTTCCTCTGTGGTTTACTTTTTTTTGTTGTAAAGCTGCATGACTGATGCAATGTTGCATTATAGCATACACAATACACTAATATTGGACTTGCTCCTTATTTTCCTAGTTCACTGTACACAATCATTACTCAGATATTAAGCTTACTCAAATGTGATATACTGTTCAAGTTGTCAACTTATAATCTGTCCCAACTCCTAATGGTTCATCCGTTCTTATCAAGTGAATTTAGCTTGATCAGATAATCCTTTTTTGAGAGGTCAATATCTGCTGATAGCCTCCTTTTGATCTGAAAAGTTTTCTCCTAGAATGCTATTTAAGCTTTACAGGTTCTTAAATGGAACAAAGTGTTTGCAATGCTAACATGTTATTAATTTTTTGTAAAGGTGAACCTGGAAAGCCTTCCCAACTGGGAGGAGAAACAGTTATTCAAAGAGTAAGTACATATTGTGATAGTGTTGATTTTGGACAGGTTCTCAAAGTAACATATGTGCTCTCTATTCATTTGATATGTTAACCTCTTTTCATTCTCTCTTAAATATACTTCGTATTTGCTAATCTTTAATATCTAAAAGTAAAATTATCTTGCAGATTTATGGAGGATCATAACACAGCAACCTTCCCATCTAAGAAGTAAGCTCTTTACTATTTTGGTGGTCATGCTCTGGTATAGATATCAGAGCTTGTTTTTAAGTGTGTTTGCTATCTACAAGTTGTATTATACATCAGTGGTGGGGTTGTTTATCCGTTTGCAGTAATATACAGTTGCCAAAAGCCAATATAATTCATTTTAGAAAGATGTTTGGAAAACTCAAATAGAACACTGTAAATAAAAATGTTGAGCTTCTATGAGATGAGGTTTAAGAAAGGATGTTATGATTATGAGACCAATTTCAGTGCAGAGAATGAATTATTTTAGCATTCTTCTTAGAGGTTAATGGTTGCAGATACTATGACCTTGATGCATATTATCAACGTCAAATGGAAAAGGAAAAGAAGAAGCACCCATATAAGCTCTTGGACAATGAACGTACCGTGTTTAATGATGAAGAACAACGCCGGTACGTGTCTATTATGCTTGCGTGCCAACTATTTGTACTCTCTCATCCCACAATGGATGCCCCTGTCTGCTACTCAAAATTAAGATAACTTTTGTTTATTTGTGTTTTTTCATTGCTTATTTGATGAAATAAAAACTTGTTGTCACCCCTTGTTTTGTAGAAATTTTGACATACTTTTTAAATACTCCCTCCGTCCAAGATTAAAGTTCCCACTTTGACTTGGCACGTAGTTTAATAAAATTTAAAATTTGCTTTGACTTTCCAAAATTACCCTCCACCTTAGCCCCACTTACCCACCCATACTGCCTACTCCCCCTCTCCCATCATCCTGAAGACCAGAACCAGACAGAGCAAAACTCCAGTGACAAAATCGAGCAAATTTCCAGGGAGAGAAATTTCTCCCAACCTCAACATTTCAGAATTCTCGCAAGCAATCTTTAAGGCCATATTCGAGCTATTCCCGCACTAAAGTAGAAAAATCGAAGATATGAAGAAAATGAAAAATTTTTGAAGATGAAGATGACTTGAAGAAGAACCTTCGTTGATGTTAACCTCCTTCATAGATCTGAATCGAACCCAGATCTGAAGCAAATTTCTTAGATCTGACGGAGATTTGAATGATCTGATGACCAAATCTGAAGGGGGAGAAGAAAATAAAGAAGAAGACGAGAAGAAAAAGAGAAAGGAAACATCGGCCGGTTGAACAAATCAAAAGGGGGGAGGGAAGAAGAAAATAAAGAGTAAGAAAAAGAAAAGTAGAAGAAGAATAAGAAGAAGAAGAAGAAGAGAAGAAAGAATCGTGGAGAGAAGAAAAAGAAGGGAAGGAAGATGAAGGTCCTGGATAGAAGAAAAGAAGAGAGAAGAAAAAGAAAGGAAGGGAGAAGAAAAGAGGAAAAGAGAAATGGGGGGGGGGCTGCGGAAGGAAAGGAAGGAGAAAAGAAAAAGAGTTTATGAAGTGGGGGGTATTTGAGACATTTTTACCAAGAAAAGTTTCTAAAATTAGAAATGGGAACATTAATTGTGGACGGCCTGAAAAGGAAAGTGGGAACTTTAATTTTGGACGGAGGGAGTATATAAGTTATACTTTTTATTTCTATACCAATTTGTAATAAAATGAATTGAAAAAACATGGGATTTTTCTTCGTTTTGCGGAAATGGGCATCCATTGTGGGGAGGAGGAAATATTATCTATTTCTTAGTAGTTATTGTTTCTTAAGAGGTTGATTGACCCAAATTAAGTTCCCAATTTGACTTTCACATTCTCCAATTCAACTCTTTGACATTTATATACATAAATGGATATTATAATTATACAATAAGTAAAAGTATATTGAAAGAAATGAAGTAACCCCTACGGACGGGTAATTACTTTCCAAGTTGACGCGACATGCTTACTTAGAAGTGGTAAAATTTAGGCTGACTTTCCTAAAATGCCGTTATACACAATTTACCCCTAAAAGTCCTGTAGCTCCGTAGCAGTCCGGAGGTTGGATCTGCTGGTCAAGTGATCTTGAATGGAGAGCCTGACAGCACTTGTATGGAACCTATAGGTTCAGATCTCCCCTCCAAGCCCAGGTCCCCAGCTGCAATTCAGAGGTCTTCGTCAAAGGCCGTCGGGACAAGGGTCTCAACCCTAGCCCATTGCGTCACTGTGCAATGGAAGTTCCAATAGATCCAACAGCGGCAACAACGACTGCTTCCAGTAGATCTTGCTGAGATCTGAAGTTGGAACCGCGTGGCAGCAGAAGGGTGAAAGGAAGAAGATGATGGCTGGTTGTGACATAAAGCTGGCTGCGTCTCCAAAGGAAGAAGAAGAATGTGGTGGTGGCGGCGAAAGGAGGAAGAAGATGGTGGCGACAAAAAGGTAGTGGCGGTGGCCGAAGGAAGAAGAAGATGGTGGCCGGTCGCAATGACCGCTCCAAAGGATGAAGAAGAGGATGATGGTTGTGGCTCCAAAGGAAGAAAAAGAAGTGGCATTTTCAAAATATTTAGGGATTGGGGAGTAATGAAGATGAATCTAAGATAATGAAAAGGGTAAGCAAATCATACAAAATATTTTGCCAAATAAGGGAAAGAGTAGAAGATTTTCGGATGGCCCAAAAAAGAAAGAAGAATTTTTTTGGAGTGAGGGAGTATTTCCTCTACCCCCTGACCCCCTCGATACCTAATCTTTTTTGCTGAATTTATTTATATTTATTCAACTTTATTGGTTAGAAACCAACACATCATTTTCTACTTTTCCATCAAAAGATCTTAACAAGTGTATGCAGACCTTACCTTACCTCTGCCTCAATGAGTAGAGATGCTATTTCTAGGACTAGAGAGGTTATTTCTAAAAGGACACTGTGGACAGTGACACGTCGCTATGGGTACACTGTAATCCCGTATGAGTAATTTGTGGAAGAGTTATTTATGGGATAAAATCAGTGACCTATATAACTCTTCATGGTCACTTTCAATTATGGCAATGATTGTGTTTCTTTATTATTTACTATTATAATTCCCTTATAAAGGAAGTTATAATGTAATTATTAGAGAAGTTAGAATTGATTATGAAAATAATTCAGGAAGTTTCTTCAATTTAACTCTTCTCACCACCTCCATTCTTTTTCTTATTGCCTTTTGGGAGCCACCATAGGCAAGACCAAGTCTTCAAACGTAGTCCCACATAGCCCTGTGATGAGGAGTGTAACCCATGACCATATTAACTTGGTTCCTGTTGCCTTATCAATGAATATGCAATCAACGCTTTGCAAAAATTAGTTCTTGTCCTAGAGGCCCAAGTGGACAAAATTGACTCTCATCTCCAAATGTAGCCTCCCTTCCCGACAACACAACTTTAAAATGCCACAACACTTGCTAAGCTTGAGAAGATTGTGAGACAACTCTTGATCGATTAGGGTATATGGCTAATCCCAAAAGGCGAATCCCAAACTGGAAACCATGCGTCCACACCAATGTGACCAACACAAATAGATTTGTGTTATCCAATTCTGAATAATATGAAAACATTGTCGTATCGTTGGACTTGGAAGTTCAAGAGGCATCTCTGCAAGTAAACACTTCATCTATTACTCCCTCTATCTCTGCAAGTTTTACTTTGAGAAAAACATGCTCCGTTTTTGACTTGAAAACTATGATTTTATGATTTTTATCTAAACTAATTTAGGAAATCAATCCAATGGTATAAAACTATTAAAATTTTGACAAAAAAGCAATCAAAGGTTTTTCAAGAGTAAAACTTGAAATTTTTATACCCACTTTAGTTATCTTATAAACAGATACAATACTAGGAAAAACCAATTATGAACTAAATTTAGATGCATGAAACATTTTAAAATTTAAAATAATCTTGTCATTCTAATTTCTAATAAGGTTCCACAAATGAGGTCTAGGGATTTGTCTTCCAACAATTTAAAAGGAATAAACAATTTCTAAGATATTTTTGTATGATTTGTCTTCTAACATCGAGTTGTGTCAATCAAAAACCCAATAAGGTTCCATAAATGAGGTCTAGGGAGTGAGGCTATACGCCGACATTACCCATAAAGATCCTCAACTCAAGAAATTAATCCAAGATCCAAACTAAACCAAGTAGGTTTTGATATTACCATGTGAAGACAAAGGTTAGTACCAGGATTGGATCTTCATAAATTTAATTATGACTATCTTCTTTGGCACCTTTAGACAACTAATCAACTATGATCATGAAATTCATCCCACATGTCCAAATACATAATAATTAAAGATATGGAATTCTTTTAGATAAAAATAGATTACAATAAAATTAAAATAAGTTGCAAACACAAACGAAGTTCCCAAAAACCTTCCATCAGAAACTCGAAACCGATTATTTGTTTTATTCAGTCCTAAAAATTCCAGAAGTTTGGCACCGGCTACATGCTGTTTAGTTATTTTTTGTCCACTGGTCAAGCCTTGTACCCATGCTTCAATCTCGATAGTCCAGTTTTTTGCACCACATGCCGATGATCATTTTAATACCTCCATGCATATTTCTTCTTGACATTCTACGCTTTTTTTCATGTGTATGAACCTCTCAATGAACTGGAATAACATGCTTACTATTCATAACTTGGTTCTTGTGCTCAATGGCTTCTTGATGTGCCATTCAATTCCTTCTTAGTTGGTCCCGTGCTACAAGTTTCAAGATTTAGTGTCATAGGCTAGCTCATGCATGGTAGTCAAACTCTAGATTCTACGTAGGATCGATGGGCCTAATGAAGATCGTAACATTGTAAGATCGTGACTCGGATCGTAAGATCCTACTATATATGTGTGTGTGTGTGTATATCTCTGTGTGTGTGTGTCTATATATGTATGTGTGTGTGTATATATATATATGTTAATTAAATTTTAATAAAACATTAACACAAGTTCAAGTTGGATATCACAAATGACTCGCCCTTTTATAATATATAGTACCCTTTTACCGTATAGCCCACACTCCTAATATATAATTAAAAATCATAAATATAACCAGGGCAATAGTTGAGAGGCAGTGGAGACGCGTAGGGCAATAGGCTTCGCCGCGTTAGAAGGGAGAAGGCTAGAAGCGACAAAATAGTCGAATTGGATGTTGCAAAGTAATCGCAATTCAAATTGGAAGTTGCGAACAATCGAAGCGATTAAATCGACAAAATCCAAGCGACAATATAGGGATTTTCAAATTTCCGGATTCTTTTCTTTTTTACGATCGTCAATCTCCTGCGATTGTGCGATTGCACGATCCGGATCGACGATCCCTCGGAGACCCGATGGATTTTTGCGGCTATGACGGCGAGTTGGATCGGATACCTTCTGGCGATCTTCGGAATCGTAGGATCATACAATCTAGATCGTGATCTTGACAAGGCATGAGTTTCATGCCTTGTTGAGAGTACTTTTATTCCACCTGAAAAGCAATAAAAACAACAATGTGAAAAGGGGGTTCAAAGTGGTGTAGGGCACCTCAAGTAATGCAACAAAGGAGTCCCTTATCCACTCTCATGGCGTAGAGCACCTCAAGTCATATGAACGAAGCCACTGTCATAGTTCAAGTTCATATAATCAAGATTCAAGATGGAATGCAAGCCGCAAACATAAGCATATCTCCTGAACAAGACTACTCTCGCATAGAGGTTTCTACAAATATCCATAAGCCTTGTGACCATTCAGTCTTACAAATTAACAATTAAGATTCTCAACTTCATAGAATAAACATACATTGTCTAAGATTCTTAACGAAAACCCATCATCAATCTTTATTCCCTATTGAAACCTAGGTTGCATGCATGGTAGTCAAACTCACGATCTGACTCGTACGATTCTACGAGTCTGCAGATCGCCATCCCCTTCCCGATCCAACTCGTCAGCAGAATCGCGAAATCCAGTGGACTCGGCCGGATCGACGATTCGGCTCGTGATATCGCAGGATCGCAATCAATCAGCGATTGTGAGAAGCCCAAAGACCAACACAGCGTCGCTTCAAAATCCACTTCCAATCGCAACATTGAATTCGTCAGGAATTTCAATTGGAAAGTCGTGTCTGTCGCAACTCCCAAAAACCCAACGCAGCGTGTGTAGCGACTCCCAATTCCAGTCGCGACTCCCTTCTAGTTCCAGGCTATTATTTACGGAGTATCTGCTTCTATTTATTTGGGACTCCCAATCTGCTTCTATTATTTATCTGCCGATTTGGGACTCTTATTTATCAGCCTTCTTTTTCTGTTTCTTTCTGCTTCCTTCAGTCGCGACTCCCTTTAAGTCATTTGTGATCCAACTTGAACTTGTGTTATGTTTTATTAAAATTTAATTTAAACACACACACACACACATATATGTACATTTGTGTGTGTGTGTGTGTCTATATTACAATCCGAGTCACGATCTTACGATATTACGATCTTCATTATGCTTATCAATCCTAATCTAGAGTTTGACTACCATGGTTGCATGGGTTCCTCGATCTAGTGCCGTTTGCCATCTCGGAACCGTCATGGGGACGCGGGAACGGTAAACAAGGGACGCACCCGGTTTGGATCTGCAGTTCGACCTGACGACCCGCACCCCAATTATGTATTCTTTTCTCTATTTGCGTGTATAAGGTATGAGGTCACCGATAAAAATTAGGATTTTTTAATACTCCGTAGTCCGTATAAAACGTGTGGGTATTAGCTTTCAATTAGTCGGCTAGCCTACAGTACAGGTAACGATCCTTATTCAACCTCTGCTTTGGGCATTCCACCTTATCTCTTGTTAAAGAATTTGCGAGAACTTGTTTTTAATTCTTATTTAATTTTTAAGGCACTTTTTCACTCCATATTTCAATTTTAATTTTAATTTTTCAAAAAAATAAACAAATAAATCTACTGTATGCTAAGGGCCCGTTTGGTATACAGAATTGATGGAATTGGAATTGAAATTTCATGGGATTCAATTCCATAGAATTGAATTCCTCAACTACAATTCATTTTTTGCACTATCAATTTCAAATCCACATAATTTTATGCTACCAAACACTAAAATTGGAATTGAAGTCCTCAATTCCAATTCCATAGTTTCAATTCCGTGTACCAAACGGGGCCTAAGTTTATTTGTTAGTTATATTTTCAAATACTTAGTATGATACTTTTTTGACGATACAAATATTTAGTTTTTCATCCTTTTGTCATATCAGAGACGTATGTGATTGGATTGTTATATGCTAAAAATTACTTTTTGCATTTGTAACTCTATATTTAGTATTTTATTACTTTTTGTTGCCGTATCCTAGCCGCCCCCGCATCCTGTAATTTTTAAAAATGCCATTTTCCGCTCCTGTCCCCGTATGTGTGCTCGCACCCATCCCACTGTAATCTAGATTGAAACTTCTCACGAGCCAAGCAATATAAGCTATTACAAAGCTTAGAGTAGAATAAGAAATACACTTGCCAATCAATTGCCATCATAAGTACTAAGAGGCAACGACCATTGTGCATGGCGGGTTTCTCTAGCTTAAAGAGGCTCTAAAGAGCTATTGTTTGGTTTACTGTGGGCCTTGTGACTCCTCGTGTGTAAGGAGTTATGCCTTCCACAATTTTTCCCTCCAAAGTCGAAAACATAATGTTCCAAGTTTCTAGATGGTCTATAATAGACTTTTATACCTGACAAATGTCACCATTAACATAGAGAAGTCCATTTTGAGTGAAACAACCATTCGATTTGGGGAAGCATGTTGAAGTATGAAATCATCATATATCTTCATTTGGAGCACCACAGAGGCATGTTGGACATAATTTATGAATTAGGACATGTAGAAAGTATATTTGAATGTGTCTCTCCTATATTTACTTCTATTCGGTTTAGAACTTTTTCTTCATTCACATACTCGTTTTGTTTACAGGCAAGAATTACGTAGGGAACGTGAGAAGCAGAAAGAAGAACAATTACATGCATTGAAGCTCTCCATGCAAAGTGGAATGGTAAACATTTTCTCATCACATGAATCTGAGCATGAATGATCATTCGGGTCCTTTATAGCATATGAGTATCTTGCAATGATTCTTTTATTTTGAGTATATAGGCACAAGCAATGAAAGAACAAGCTCAACTAAAGGAGGAGATGGCATACCAGTACAAGCTTGGCAACTTTGAGGTTAGAGCAACTTGATAGACAGATGATTACATGTACTCTGTATTACCTTATTACTACCTTCATTCAAAATGAATTGTCTATTATGATATTTATGATACATTGAAAAATGAATGAATGTAGACATGTGTTATGTCTATATTCATTTACCTTTAATGCATCATAAAAGTCATAATACACGGTTAATATGGAATTGAGGGAGAACATTGGGACGCAATAATGATGCTTTAAAGTTTTCAATATTTATTTTTTTGAATGCCCTCACATAGGCTGCAGCTGCTATACAAAGGCGTTTAGATCCGGATGTTGCCATTTAGAGCTGGTGGTTTAGTCTTAGTGTGATGTGGATGGCGGACTGCATGCTTGAGCTGGTTTGGCTTCTGCTTATGTTTTAACTTTGACCCCTGGAATGGTGGTGGGGAAACTGCAGTTTTCTTCTTTGCTCGCATCCTCTTTTTTACAGTTTTGTACATACCATACAAAGTTCTGTTGGCCAATATTTTGTAATTTTGTTATATTCACGTCATAGCTAGTCTTGTCCCAAGAGAATCATCGCAAGACAGTCATTTTTTCCTACTATGCAATATGCAACTATAAGCCATCACATATTTCTCCGTCAAAATGACTACTTTCTATCTCCATTTTTTCGTTTGTCACAAAATTATACGGAGTGTATCTTAATTTATCTGTCTATTACCATTCTATCTCATACTTTGTCCTATTTTGACTTTTGTGGTTAATTTTTTAAAATTGTTTGTAAATTACAGAAAAATACATTGATTTGTGATATAAATTGACTCTCTTGCTTTGTGGTCTGCTCTGCTCTTTGCTCTCTCTCGTGTGTAACGGCTCTTCCTCTTCCTCAGAGTAGTCGCCGGCTCTTTGGCTCCCACCGTTCGTCCTCCCTGCCGGTGGTTTAGACGGTCGTAGGACGGCGGCGGGCGACGGCAGACGACGGCTAGGAGCACAGGTAAGTTCACACCCACCCCACCCCACCCCTTACCCAGACCTAGCACTCCCAGATCCGACCCTTTCCGACCCAGCCCTTCGCCGCCGACTTGCCCCCTGACTCCTCCGGTTCGTCGCTGACCTGTGCCCCACCTCCTACCCAGATTCGTCCCTTTGCTGCCGAACCGTCCCTTTGTTGCAGGCTCCCTTCGCCGTCGACCAGGCCCCTGACTCCTCTGTCACGGATCCCCCCTTACCCCCTCAACCTGAACCCACTTCCCCCCATCCTTTGTCTCCGCCAGCCCTAGGCGACACACCACCACCACCTCCTCTGCTTCCCACTTATCCCCAGCCACCCATAGCTACCCCCTCACGCAGCAACAGAACCACCCTCAACCCCTACACCTACCCTTGCCTCTCTGTTGTCCATTCCCGAGTCAATACACAACCCAGCCCCAACCCAACCCCCTCACCCTCACCTCACTCTAGCCGCAGTCCCTCACCCTAGCTCCACCACCTGCCAAACCCTCTCCTTGTTCTCATTACTTTTACTGCTATTTTAGCACTTTTATGTACTTTGATTGCTTTTATTGCTTTACTGTGGCTTTGATTGCTAACTACTTGTTCTACTACTGTACTCCTTTATTGTTATTTGGTTTGTTGCTCTTACCTTCTTTAGCAGTGGTTTGAATATACTTTTATTGTGTTGGTAGTCTCGTCTTTGCTTTGCTTTTTGGTGCTGTTGTGTAGGTGTAGTGGCGTGGGTTAACAATGTAACTCTAAGGTTATATCTCGGGGTTGGGACGGGTGTAGGAGGTTCGCAGAGGGGTAAGGTAGTGTCCCATGTGTTTCGGCTCATGGAACATAGGGACCCTCACAGGTAAGTCGATTGAGTTGGTGCAAGTTCTCAAGAGGAGAAGGATTCAGGTGGCGTGTGTGCAAGAAACCAGGTGGGTGAGCACTAAGGCGCGAGAGGTTGATAGTTTCAAACTGTGGTATTCAGGTTTAGCTAGGGGAAGGAATGGAGTCGGTGTTCTGGTGGCGCTGGAGCTGCGAGAGTTTGTGGTGGAGGTGAAGAGGATTAGTGATCGTCTGATGGCTATCAAGTTGGTTTTGGGTGGGTGTGCGATCAATGTCGTGAGTGCTTATGCCCCGCATGTTGGCTTGGAAGACGAAGTTAAGAGGGAGTTTTGGGATGCCTTGGATGGGGTGGTTGTTGGTTTTCCATTGACCGAGAAAGTCATCATTGGAGGCGACTTCAATGGCCACATTGGAGACTCGGCCGAGGGCTTCGAGGACGTGCACGGTGGTTTTGGCTTTGGCAGTAGGAACCCAACGGGAGTTTCACTCTTGGAGTTTGCCAGAGCGAGTGATATGGTGGTTGCTAACTCTTGTTTCCCTAAACGAGATGATCATTTGGCTACATTTGTTAGTGGAGTGGGGGCGACTCAGATCGACTATCTTCTCCTGCGCAGGTGTGATCGGATGCTTTGCAAGGATGTTAAAGTAATTCCGAGTGAGAACATCACTATCCAACACAAGCTACTTGTGATGGATGTCATGATCAGGTGGGTGAAACATAGGAGAGCTACGGGTGGCAACACACAAATCAGGTGGAGGAGACTAAGGGGGGAGAAAATCTCTGTGTTGATTAGGCGAGTGCAGGAGAAAGGTGCGTAGGAATCGGCCGGGGAGGCTACTGATATGTGGGCGCAGACTGCTAACTGCATCAGGGAAACAACAAGTGAAGTGTTAGGTGTGAGCTCTAGCTCAGGGTGTAGGCATCAGGGCGATTGGTGGTGGAGTGACTCAGTTCGAAGTAAGGTGGAAGCCAAGAAGGTGGCATATCTGAGGTACATGTACTGTAATGTCGAGGAGGAAAGAGCGAGTACAAGAAGGCACGTAAAGAAGCTAAGTTAGAGGTTACGAGGGCAAAGAATGCCGCCTTTGAACGCCTCTACAAGGATATAGAGGAGAAATGCGATGTTAATCAACTGTTCCGGCTTGCTAAGGTGCGTGAGAGGAAGGCTTGAGATCTGGACCACGTGAGATGCGTGAGGGGCAGCGATGGTAGAGTGTTGGTTGAGACTGTCAATGTGGCTAAGCGCTGGGGGAGTATTTTTGTGAACTCTTAAATGCGGGAGGAGACCAGAGGCTAGTTCTTGATGAGCCAGGGCAGTCTGAGGCGTCTCATGTGTATTGCCGGCGCATTTGCCTTGAAGAGGTGGCTCGGGCTCTCCGCAGGATGCGTAGTGGGAGAGCGTTGGGACCATATGAGATTCCGGTGGAGTTTTGGAAGCATGCGGGTCGTGGTGGGTGGGTTTGGTTAACCAAACTCTTTAATGTTATCTTCCGGACAGCTAGGATGCCTGATGAGTGGAGGGAGAGTCTCTTGGTCCCTCTGTTTAAGGGTAAGGGTGACATTCAGAGCTGCGAGAATTACAGAGGCATCAAACTGCTTAGCCACATCATAGAGGTTTGGGAGCGAGTCATTGAGTATAGGGTGCGGAAAGGGGTATGCATTTCTGAGAACCAGTTTGGTTTCATGCCTCGCAGATCGACTACAGAGGTCATTCACCTCGTGCGGAGGTTAATGGAAGAGTATAGGGCTAGGAAGAAGGACCTTCATATGGTGTTTATTGATCTTGATAAGGCGTACGATAGGGTGCCAAGGGAGGTTTTATGGAGGTTCCTTTGAGTCGAAAGGAGTTCGCATCGCGTACACTCGTGCGATCAAGGATATGTACGGTGGGGCTAGGACTAGGGTGAGGACCTCCGGGGGCGACTCTGAGTCATTCTCGGTAGAGATGGGGTTGCACCAGGGGTCTGCCCTTAGCCCTTTTTTGTTCACCTTGGTGATGGATGTCCTGACCCAAGGTGTTCAAGAAGGGGTCCATGGTGCATGCTTTTTGCGGATGATATTGTGCTTATCGACGACACGCGTGAGGGACTAAACGATAAGTTGGAATTATGGCGCCTTGCCCTTGAGATCAAAGGATTCAGATTAAGTAGGAACAAGACTGAATACATGGAATGTCGTTTCAGTGGGCGGGAAACGGAATCAGAAGTGGAAGTTAGGATTGATTCTCACCTAGTGCCTAAGGTAGACAAGTTTCGATATCTTGGCTCGGTAATTCAGGCTGATGGGGAATTAGACGGGGATGTTGGACATCGTGTTGGTGTGGCTTGGGCATAGGGCTGGGTTGGGAAAATCGAAAACCGCAAACCGAACCGAAATCGATCGAAACGAGCTAGAAAAAAAACCGAACCGAAAAAACCGAAACCGAATGTAAAAAAACCGAACCGAACCGTTAGTGTTTGGTTCCGTTTTGGTTTTTACTTTTAAAAACCGAACCGAACCGAATAAACCGAACTTTCTTAGATAATTCTCTTTATTTATATGAATATATGTGATATGTAAAAAAATTATAAAAATATAAACGCAAATAAATTACTAGTCGATTAAAATTATTTTCTTAACTATTAATTAAACATTCAAGCCATATTATTATAAACTTTGAAAAAACCTAAGAATATAAACACCAATAGCTTATCCTAAAATAGAATTATATTAACATTAAAAATTTATACGAGTAATTTACATATTTACATAACAAATACTTTGATGTTATAATGAAAATGAAAGTATTATACCAAAAAACCTAAATTCTTCGTAATTGATTTTACATACGATTTCTTTGGAAGTATTTGGAATCTTCTAAATGTTTGTTGGGCACTCAACACATATTTTTTATGTAAAATTGAACCGAAAGGAACAATGACCTTCCGTTTGGTTTTTGTTTTTGTGTAAAAATCAAACAAAAAAACCAAAGCTAACAGTACATATTGTTATTGTTTCATCGAGTTAGTGTTTTTACTATTTTTTAATGCTTATAAATTTCTACTTTTATAAACCGAAAAAACCGAAATAAAAACCGTATAAAACCGAACTGAATAACCAACGGTTTACATATTTTTTATGCAAAACCGAACCGAACCGCCAATTTACCTTCCGTTTTGTCTTTGGTTTAAGGTGAAAACCGAACCGCCAAAACCGAACCCACCCCTACTTGGGCAGGATGAAAGGTAAGTTCTACCAGTCCGTAGTCAGACCTGCTATGTTATTTGGGGCAGAGTGTTGGGCGGTTAAGAAGACTCATGTGCGTCGTCTGCATGCGGTGGAGATGCGGATGTTACTAATGGATGTGTGGGAAGACAAGGTTGGATAGGATTTCGAACGAAGTTATCCGACACCAGGTAGGCATGGCACCGGTGGAAACTAAACTACGGGAAGCGAGGTTGAGATGGTTTGGTCATGTAAGACGACGGAATGCTGACGCCCATGTACAGAGATGCGAGAGGATTACGGTTGTCGGGGGTAGTAGGGGAAGGGGTAGACCTAGGAAGAATTGGAAGGAGGTGATTAGGCAGGATTTAGGACTTCTCACCCTGACTGAGGATATGACTTTAGATAGGAACCTTTGGAGAACTAGGATTAGAGTTGCTCGATAGGGCCTGGTGCTTCAGTGGCTTTTGTAGTGTGTTTTGTTTGGTTGGAATTATTTGTTATTGCTTCTAGGACTTTCATTCCATTGTACTTGGTGTTTTGTCTGTGTTATACTGTGTTTCCTACCATATTTTTTGTGCAGGTGGAGCCGGGGGTCTCTTGGAAACAGCCTCCCTACTTTCGAGTAGGGGCAAGGTCTGCGTACACACACCCTCCCCAGACGCTACTGTAGTGGGATTCAACTGGGTTGTTGTTGTTAATATATTCACTTTGAAACATAGTTTTAAAATATCATAATTTTATAATCTATGATTATAAATATTTTATAATCTATGTTTAAAATATGTATATTTCCATCATCTCCGATGGACCCAAAATTTCACCTTTTTTTGGCTTTGGGGTGTGATGGAATAAATCAAAATGGATCTCTAAACTGTCTGCGCTTCTTTAATTAATGAAGTAGCAGTTAGTCACGCAATGCAACTTTCGACGTTGAGCCGGGGGTCTCTTTGGAAACAGCCTCTCTACTTTCAAGTAGGGGCAAGGTCTGCGTACACACACCCTCCCCAGACCCTACTCTTGTGGGATTTAACTGGGTTGTTGTTGTTGTTGTAATGGTCAAAGTGTTATAATAAAGATCGTAAGAAATCAAATGGGAAGAAAGATGGAGAACAAAGAGTAGTAGTTTTTAAAATTGAACTAGAGTTTGATTTTACAGTGATCGAGTCTAGGTTTTTTATACTTTCATTTTGATTCATCCATTGTTTATGAAACATAGTTAATGGTAGCGAGTGGACATATGATTATTGGCTATGAAATTTTATAAATTTTGATGTTCTTATTTGATTTTTTAGGCTCCAACTAGTTCTCTAATACATGTGAAAGACGAATGCATTGTGATAGACAATATTGACTTGGATATGTATTTCACAAAAGATTTGTATTCAGATGTCATTGCGAAAGCTAAAGAACAGTATATGAGTCTTTGGTTCATTGGTTTTAGGTTCCATGCACCTCCATAGAAATTTAGAGAGAGTCATTAGCATCTGATTCCACTTGGGTTAAGATGGTTGAGCATTGGGTTGCTGCCCCTTATACTTACATTTTAAGTCAAGGAACCAACTCAACCAAAAGCTCAAGCTTGTGGTTGTGGCCCAAGAACAGTTATTTATATTCTAACACGCCCCCTCACGTGCAGACGTAGTCTTTTTCAAGCCTTGCACGTGAAACCTTGATTTTTTTAAACTGGGTGGCGCTGAGTTTCGAACCCGTGATCTCTTCTTAGTCAACGAGGCTCTGATACCAAGTCAAGGAACCAACTCAACCAAAAGCTCAAGCTTGTGGTTGTGGCCCAAGAACAGTTATTTATATTCTAACAAAGAGTATACCTATCCTTACACAATCCAGCCTCAGTGCATTTCATATATGTGACTGTAGCGGGTGGAAAGTGCTAAGCCTTCTCTATAAGCGTGTTGCAAGATATACCCTTATGATTAATGAGAACCTAGAAGATTATTGTACACCTTGATTTTTAGTAGAAAAGTACATGGCCTTATGTGAATATGTGATGGATGTCATCATACACCCGATCTGAGATCCATGCATGTGGGAGAGAGTTCACTTCCAAAACTAGACCCTCCCAAGAACATGAAGAAGAGGGGAAGGCCAAAGAAGTACAAAAGAAGAGATGGAATCGATGATATTATTGCAAACCAACATATAAGCTAAGTATAGCTCACGGATAAAGAGCTGCAGCAAGTGCAAAAAGCTAGCTATGACACATTCACAGGACTTGTGGCCAAGGTAGAGTAGTTGTTGGTGGCTAATTTTTGTATAGTAGTTGTCTGTTCATGCTCATTATTGATGCAGAAGCCAATTGCTTGGCCATGGATTTTGTCCATTTCGTATTTGGCTTGCTCGTTGTTGTCCATTTCGTACTTGGCTTAGTTTTACATTTTTCTACTATATCAATGAATTGGAGAACATTCAAACAAATACATGCACTTTATGAAATGAAAACGACTAGTCCCTCTAGGTTCTTCTAAGTTACTATTCACATGATCAAATTTTATTCACTTTCTTTACCCATTTTTATTGATTATTTCATAAAATAAAATAGTCATGTCACTACTATTATTATATATATTTTGAAATATTCTTTGAATATGTGAATTTTAGTCTTTATTTTAACATCAATAGTCATATAAATTGAATTAAAAATAATTTCCATCAGACATCGTAATCTGAAACGATTAGAACCTAGAACAAATGAAGTACTTTCACATTCATCACAACATCCAAATTTAGAAGTACATTATGATGCTTCAACAAAAAACAAATTTCAATAAAGCTAATACACTTAACATTAACAATGTTGCTCAGTTTACATAACAATGCATTCACCATAAAAATGATGACAAGCGCTACAACAAAACCAAAGATAAAAGTCCAAGTGTCTTTGTTTTTCCCTCTTTGCTACATATCTATACGAGCTTTATCTCTTCTTCTTTTGCATTGATCTTATTTAGAAGTTCGAGAATGATCTTCTTGTCGTGATTGCATATTGGTGGGTTGATCCATTCCTAGCTATCGCATTTACGGGTACCCTATTTAACATTAACTCACATAAGGAACTTGAATTAAAGGAATCCACAATATATATAATGTCAATGAAAGCAAAAAAGCGAACAAACTCTTCCAACACACGTCTTGAATCTTCTTCCGGGATTTTTTCAATCCATGATGTCATTAAATTCATCGTTTTCCCACATTTATAGGTAGGCACCTCTAACTAATCACTTTACTCACAAATTCTTCTTGAACTGGTGAAAGAGCGTAAATTATATCGTACATCCAGTTGTACGGAAAGAACCGTACAACCCGCAATTAATTGGGCGAAGGGAGAAACTGCTGCAGGAACGACTGAATCGATCGGCCATGAAGGAGGCTGCGCGATGGGGCTGGTTGGATTCCCGATCGACGATCTGCGATTTGACGATGAAGGTGCAATCGGCGATTAGACGATGAAGGTCCGATGGAGGTTGTTTGAAAGACGATGAAGGTCTGATCCGCGATCTGCTGATTGGATATGCGAAGATCTGGTCACCGCTTCCAGTTGCTCGAGATGGTCTTCCTGCTTCTTAGAGATCTTTTCTTCCACTTAGAAAATTTGAACTTATGAATGGACATATGAATGGTACTTTGTTTAAGATTGAGTACTAGGTTATATGAGAATGAATACTACTGGGTTTTAGAATGAATATTATGTTATTCATAAATGAATATTGAAGAAATTTGTGAAAATGAGTACGACGTTATTTCTGAATTAATATTGTGTTATTTCAGAATGAGTACCATGTTTTTCAAATAAACCATTATGCTTGTGCGAGAATGTATACTACTTACTTCGCAATGAGTACTACATGGATGTACCATATACACTCTCATGGCTGCCATAATTAT